GTTAAAAAGAAAGAGGTGATAAACAAGTACTTCAGTATCCAATGGATGCATTTGGATTGTGATGTTAATTTGGAAGTATTATGTTCTTGCAATTTGGAAGTCATTTGGCCTTTTCCCCCTTGTTCCCTTTAGAATAATGTCATCTTGCTTTTATGTATACAGGTTCAACCTTTTGCATGAAGAGAGCATTGAATTCAGAAAATTTGGGCTTCGGGACAATGTTGCTCAACTTTGTATATTGAGGTATGCTGGTTACATAGTTTTAAGGCTTTGGTTTGATTTCATCTTGGTTTGAAGCTTCAATCAATCTTGGGAAAATTAATGCTTTAATAATCTAACTCGGAATCTATCATATGAAACATCTTCCCATGTTTGCTTGTCAATATGAAGAACCGTAGTTGTTAGTTATCAGGAGTAGGAGCGTGTGATCATGATAATCTAGAGGCCACCTATGGTGTCGATAACTGTTCATACACCTAGAATTTTAGGAATCTTGATCCCAACATGTTGGGAAGCTGGATCTCAACTTTTGGGATCGCATGATAATTTCTAAAGTTCCAAAACCTATATGGTAAAAACATCTCTTTTTCTTTGAAAACTATATAGAACATGATTTTGCAACATGATTTTGAAACATGATTGTTTTATTTTTTTAGTATATAAGTATTTAACAATTGTTTCCTTATAAAAGATCAATTTAATAAAGTGTCATTTATATCGACCAATCTGTAAGGGATTGGCAATGTGTTCTGTGCTATGGGAGTGATATCCACCCAAAGTCGACCTCCAAGGGGATGGATGCTGGGATTACCACCAAGTTGGGAGATCCGAGTAGCTATGAAAAGAACCAAATTTCTTGTTGCTAACTAAAGAACAAGGACTATGTTATTCAATCTCATTTACTTCTTGACTAGTGCAAAGTGTTTGTACCTATGTATTATGTTTGTTCTTCTGTAATGGTTTCACAGCTGTCAGGAGTTGGAACTGCAAGTTTAGTGATTGTGAAGGTTTCGCAAGAGTTTCGTTTGCATCTTCTCTTGAATCCAATGTTGTGAACTAATGAAAATTCCCTTCTAAGAACTACCACATGACAAACAATACAATCTTCTTAACTCGTCTGTTCCAAAAACAAAATAAATACAAAGAGGAATAGGTTAAATGAAGTTGCATGTGAGTTTGACTTATAAAAACAAAAGGCGTGCAGCTCAAGGGGAAAAAAAAGGACTCCCCAAATCAGAGAGAACCCCTTCAAGCTTCCTCCCAAATGAGGAAGTTTGCATCACAATTAGCTTAAATTCAAACATGGTAATACAAAATGGATTCCCCTACATTGTCTTGTAAAATTTTCTTTATGATGCTAGTTGAATATCAATGGGTGTTCACTTTCTCTCGAGGCTAGTGTTATGATATCAGGTGAATGTTCCAAGTAGTAAGAAAAAAAACCTGGGACTTTTTAAATAAAGCTTCATCTACATGGCCTAGGATTCCCTTGGTATTAGCCGTGGTTACCAGAAACGTCCTACCAAGGAGTTGATTTCGCTATAGAATTCCGATACTACATTCCAGGAAAGGGATCTTGCTCCATTATACATGTCTTAAATTTTGCAATCTCGATGCTAATTATTAGGATTTAGGGATCCAGGGCACAAGTCACATGGGATTCAGATTCCCTCACATTGTATAGTATAACAGTGTGAGTATAGCAATGTGGTATAGTATAGCACTGTATTGTACTATTGCCTTGTAGTGTGGTGTAGTATGGTAGTATGTATTTTATGGCATGGTATATACTCTATAGTTGTGTGTACTAGATTTAAATATGGCAGCATGTAGTATAGTATAGGAGAATATAGTATAGCACATATGTATTGTAGTATTGTATATCAGTATGGTACTGTATAATAGTGTTTTATACTTGTATGTTATAGTAGTATGTACTATACTACTCTACTAGTTAAGTGCTCTCATGGGCCTCAAATTTTAACCAGATGGAGCATAATCCTATATCATTTATTATTTCATCTGGATTAAGTTTAGATTGAGCTCCCCCACATATTGGGATCGAGATCCCTAGATTTCAAGATATGCAGATCAGCTCGGAGAGCTTTGTGTTTGTTATAGTTCAGTGGTCCTGATTCTAATCCTGGATCTTATTTGATCTATCCTAGTAAATATGGTGTTTTTTGGCAAAATAAATTATTCTTGGGTTGTATATCGCATGAGACATTGTATTTGGGTCTAAGAGAGGAGATCCAAGAAATACTACCATTCAACAAACTAGATCCATTATGTCCACTATGGTAAGGGCCCAAAAGAAATAAGAATCTTTTATGCTTTCTTAGTTTGAAGTAATCCATATAGGGGACCGTAAATATTTATATTCACTCTTTCTACCCTGTACCCAACATAGCTTGACACTCTTCCATCGTATAAGAGACCTCTCTCAGGAAAACACATTTTCGGCTTGGTGGTCAGAAGATTCCATCATAGGTCTCCCCAATAAACCTAAGAGAAACTCTAAGAGAATTCCCAAATCTTACACCACAAGGGAGATGTAGAAAGATGTGGTCCTTGGTTTCTCTTCTCCTCTCCCACTCTAATTACTAGTTGAAAGCATTTTTGGAGAAAAGATAAGGCAGAAACATCATTCTTAGAAAAGATAGTTGAAATTAAAGTAGATAAGAAAACAGTTTGGTAGGATCTAGAGAGAGAAAGATAGGAAAGAAAATAAAGATGATGAAGAAGAATGGAGAGAGAGTGAGACGTGTGAGAGCTAGAGAGATAGAGAGGGAAAGTGAGTGGCGTAGGGGTCACTTGTGACCTCTACCCCTCTTATAACATTAATTAATAACTCTAATTACAACTTATGGACAATACTGCCCTTAGTTAGAGACATAAGATGAATAAGGACTAAACAAAAGATAAATGACAGTTCTGTCCATCAAATACAATAAAGCTTATTCTTTTAATCTCCAATAGTCCCCCTCAAGTTGACACGTAGATATCAATCATGCCCAACTTGCTTGTGATATCATGTAATCTGTCTGGTCAAACTGGTTTGGTGAAGATATCTACAAATTGATCTTTAGACTTTACATGAGGAGTCTAAGTGATCTTGGCAGCAACCTTCTCTCTAATAAAGTGACAATTTGCTTCATGTGTTTAGTTCTTTCATGAAAAAATAATTTTCTGCGATGTGAATGGCTGCTTCATTGTCACAATATAGAGCCATGGGAAGGTTAACTCTAACACCCAAATCAATTTCTTTTTATAGAAATTTCTGGACAAGCTAAATATTATTATATAAATTTCTTTTTTTATAATTCCTATTTTTGATGGGCATAAGAGCCCTTTCTAAATTTTTGTTTTAGGTTTTTTTTTTTTTGTTCTCTTCTATTTCTTATCCATATAGATTTGTTTCTCGTTGATATTTGGATAAAACATAAAAGTAAGTTTCAAATAGAGATGGATACATATTTTCTATAACAAATCTCGTGTCTTTTATTTCATTATTTTTTTCCGGTGAATGGCTCCATTCAATGGTAACCCCCGTCTATCAGAACTATGTTCACCTGATCCCACCCTCACTCCCTCCCAGCCTTCCCTGCCACCTGGTCCCTTGTCCCCCAACCTTAGCTCCCCACCCGTCCATCATCTGCTTGGTGGGACTTCACATCTTTGCTCAAAAGCGTAGATTCACTTCATTCCATTGTCGGCCTCTTCAAACCCAGGAGGAACGACATCAAGGGCATCAAGAAATGGGGCCAAAACTTCTGGAAGGAACCTGACTTTGGTTGCTGCAGGCTTTCCCATGGCTCCACTCACAGAGCTCTCCAACTCGAAACACCGACCTTCAAAGGAGCATCCTTGTCCTTGTCTACTTGATATTTCTTCGCTGCTGCTTTCAAGAAACAGAGGATATGGCTAAAGGTTTCAGGCATTCCCCTTCATGCTTTTCATCCTTCACCTTCAAACTCATTTGCGACCTTTGCGGACTGTTTGTTTCCATCCACTGGGGCTCAAGCGAATTCCTCCCGATGGACTCCATTCAACTGTTAGTTGAGGATTTTGGATCCTCATTCCATCCCTTCAGAGCTGTCGCTTCAAATGGGGAAGGAGGAGGGAAAGGAAAAACAGATGCTTAGGGCAAGGGGGAGGTGGGTGGGCAAAAGGGGGTTGTGGGGGTAGAGAGAAGGGGTGGTTGGAATGGGTTCAAAAGGATAGGAGGTAGAGAGGAGGGAGGGGGATTCGATGAAGGAAGGGTGCTAAGGGAACGGAGGTACTGGAGTAGGGGAGCAGGGGAGCAGGGGGAAGTGAGGGGGAATAAGAGCCATGAGCTGAGGAGACAAGGGAGGACTGGAGACAGTCAGAGGAGATAAGCTGGGTTGAGAAGGCAAAGGGATGGAGGGCAAGCCTGAGGCTGAGGAGAGAAGGGCCATGGGGGAAGAAAGGGGAGGAGAGGATGAGCGGTGATGGTGAATGAGGTTGGGTTGACATGGGATGACAGGAGGGGGTGGAGGCATTGTCTACGATAATTGGGAGTGGAGAGGTCCGGCTGGCTAACGACAAGGGCAGGGTGAAAGGCCAAAAAAGGTTGGCATTGAGGGGGATGATTGTTGAGGACAAGGGGGTCAGAGACCTCAGATAAGGGAAATGAATCGCTGTCGTCTGATGGAGGTGGTGTGCCTGGTTGCACACCATGTGGAGATCGAGCGGAGGATGAAGACGGCTGGAAAGGGAGGGGGGGTTATACAAAGGGCAGGTGGATCTAGGGATGAAGGAAGCGAGGTGTCTCATCGATGAGGGAAAGATTTGGTAAGGGGGAAAGGTTTTGGGGACTCAAGGAAATGAGAGGAGAGGAAAGGGCAGGTTGTACGTGTAGGGAGGGAGAAAGGGAGGTGGATAGGTGGCGGTCCACGGGAGAAGAGGAGGGACAAGCTTAGGCTGGGGGGGCAGCAACATGCAAAGAGTCATCGAGAAAGAACAAGGGAGAAGGACGAGGGGCTAACATGCTGACGTCATCCAGGGGAGGGAGAGGGCCTTGGGGGTGAGCGGTGGCAGCCTCATGGGCATGGGCAGAGTTGGCTGTACGTGGTTCGACATGAGCTCTTGGATGTTGAGATCTACAATGAAACGAGGTCTTTCTCCATCAACATGAACGAATGGTGATCCACTCGTCACTAGGGGGTGGAGGTTGCGAAGGAACTTGGGGCTGAACATGGTGCTCGGAGTGCGGAGAGGCC